ACAACTGAATTATGTAGAAAAAAAAAAAAAAAAAAAGGGTTTTGGTGTCTTTTACGCCATTTCTCCAGTATCTAGTCTCACTGTGCTAGTGCTAATCTCCTTCAATCTCAACCCAACAACTTCAAAAATAGAGAAAAGAGACTTCATCAATAGCCCGACACAAGCAATTGTTTTTAAGGAAAAGATAGAAATTGTTTTCAAATCCTTTATTTGAAGATAAAACAAAAAAATCTATTATTGTAGTATGAAAGAAGTAATATTTAAGTAATAAAACTTACTGATTTTTTATTATCACAAAAAATTGTATAATTTCCTTTCAGGATTTAAAGTTATTGAGATTATAAACAAAATTGAATATTATAATAATATTGAAGTTATATGGAATAGAATTAGATCTAAGTAAAAAAAATTGAAAAGAAAGTATAGATCCATAAAGGGAATATATATGAACTCAATAAAAAGAAAAACCTTGGATATAGTCATGTAGAGAAAAGCAATAGGAAGATAAATTAGTATAAAAGGAAGATAAACTAGTATAAAGTGTAATTAACTTGTAAAAAGGGAAAAAAAATTATTTGCTTGTAAAAAGTGGTAGGGTAAAGAGATAGAATATTGTTGTATTTCATATTTGTCAACCTCACCTGTGGAGGTGTAGAATCTCTTCCACTAGAAAATCAAAGATAACTGATAACTCAAATAAATAAGTGCTCCACCACTACGTATTGATATACTATTTTAGAAAGCTTAATAACTAATTAAGTGCTTAAAGGTTTTATGTGGTCAATTGCAACCTCCATACAAGTTTCAAATTTTAGATCTTTTATTCAAATTTGAGATTAAGATGAACAAGAAAATGGCTAGTGGATTAGAATTACAACAGAAAGAACATTTTTTGTCATAAAAATTGTGAAAACGAAACTTTATAGCAAAATAAAAGATGAATTCCTTTCAAACTTTTTAATTATTTATATTGAAAAGGAAATGGTTTAGTCATTTAATGTAAATTCTATTATAAATAAATTTTATGATATGAAAAATCGTCGACTATTATTTTAATTTTTGATATAAAAGTAAATTTCTAAAATTACAATGCAATATTTTAAAACTTAAAAAGCCAATCCCCCTTGACCGAAATTTCTGACTCCGCCACTGTATCTTGAATGTGAGATGAGGGAGATTGTAGGGATGGATTCATATGGGAGGTAGGGGACAGTAGTAGAATTAAGTTTTGGAAGAATGGGCGGCTTGTTGAAAGGACTTTAAAGGATGAGTTTCCTAGATTAAAGAAACTTGTAGGGAGGGTGGATGCAAGGGTAAGTGAGTTGGGTTTTTGGAGCGAAGAAGTTCGGAAGTGGGAAATAGATTGGAGAGGACATCGATTTGGGAGGGAACGTGCAGAAGAGAGGAGACTGTCAGAGAAACTAGAAATTGTTCAGGTGAAAATAGGGGTGATGGACAGGAGGATTTGGAAGCATGGTAGTGTTGGAGTTTATTTTGCAAAGAAAGGTGTATGAGTTGATGGCTTCCAATGAAATTTTACTTAATGCTGAATTGTGTAAGACTCTGGAAAAATTACGTGCCCGGAAGGGTGAGCTTTTTTAGCTGCAGAATGTTTCTGAACATGTTGCTCATCATGGACGGACCCAAAAAATAATCTCACAAGAGCAAAGTGATATTTAAAATGTATATGTTAAAAAAATAATTTCTTAATTTGCGTAATAAGATTAAAACTTAAATATGTATAAAAATTAAAATTTAAAGGGACTTAAATATGTATAAAAACTAAAATTTAAAAAGTCTTAAAGTATAGAAAAACTAGATAAAATTCACTCATAATTTAAACTTGAAATTAAAACACAACATTTATCAAATTACAATATGTTTAGATTGAGAGGAGGGGAGGAGACAAAATTTCTCTACTTGGTTATTAAAAAAATTGGAGAAGAGAAGAGGGGAGACAAAAAATGTCTTTTATTTTATTTTTTTAATTTATTTATTTATCTGAATAAGAGGAGGGAAATGGAAGGATATAATTCTACTCTCCTCCATTTCTCTAAACCCAAACATATTAATTCTTAAACATGGAAAAAATGAATGAAATAAAAATATTTTCATAAATCTATTTTTATTTGTCAAGTGATTAGTATTTTTTTTTATTAAAAATTTATCATTAATCTTTTTTTTTGTCAGTTACTATTAGTTCACTAAAACTAAAAAATATGTATTTTATTAAAATTTATTCAAAACAATTATAAGACCCATGAAAGGATAAAAGTCATAATACACTATTTTATTTCTTTTAAGAAGGTTTATTTGATTTTTCAAAAATAGAGAACCTATTTAAGTTTTTCTTCGAAGTCCAGGGGGGCAAGCGCTCTCCTTGCACCCCTGGCTCCGTCCGTGATGCCCATAGAGGAAAACTTGGCTCGAATATGGATTCAAGTTGGTGGATGTAACAACAGCTGTAAGAGATGCAGAGAGGAACTGGAAGATACTGGACACATTGTTCTGAGATGTGAAATTGCACGACAAGTATGGAGGAAATGTTAGGACTGTGGGGTTTCTCGAGCTTAATACCGGGGGAATATTCAAGAAGCATTTATGCATTTTGTTTAGTCTGACGGACATCAAGTAACATAACGATACACAACAGCAACGACCTATTGGTCCGATAAAAGGAATTCGGTTTCCCTTAAATAATTAAATAAGATCTCGAGTTCGAATTTTGTGGATGGAGGAACATGCGGTAGGAAAACATCCCCTAATGGAGTCCGACACGACTTAATTTTAAATTAATCGAGACCCAATATGATTACCGGATACCAAGAAGTTAATACCGAAAAAAACATAGCTATACACAACAATTCTAAATACAATCAGCTACAGGGTAAATTTTTTCTCGCCGCATCACCTAGGAAAAATGAAGAAGAATAGTAATGGCGGGAATAAAATCTGTCTTTATACAACCCAAGAAGCAATGGTTATGGCACTATAATTTTTGTTAAAGCCACAAAAATTATTAAATTTTTATTTTAACATAATTATTAAAAATAATTAATAAATAATAAATAATAAATAAAACAATTAATATTTATTATTTAATAAATTAAAATTTATTTATAAATAAATATTTTTAAATATTATAATTAATTATTTAAAAAATTAATAAAATTAATAAATTTAAATTTAAATTTGTGACATTAAAAAAATTTATGGGTGATAATAACCAATAACCTCAGCCAAGCCCAACCCCTGATGCTCAAAACCGTTGTGCATTCAGAATCTCAGTTGCATTGCCTTATGTACGGAACGATGAGCCCACTCGCTTAGTAAATTTCATGCAGCCCACTTGATTGCCATATCGGCCGGTTCTGTTCATGGTCAGCCCCGTGCCCGGAAAATGCCATACCGAGGAAGATGTTGTGTGGCGGCCGGTACACAACATTGACCGTAACTTTTTGCTTGAATCCCACCAGCAGATTAAGTTCTCACCCTGCTCGTTCTGCTTTAGGAGTCTATTCTTGCTTGAAGGCATAAGGAAAGGAATAGATAGGGGAAAGGCAAAAACTATAGTCAAAATTCTAGAGAAATTGAAAACTCACGAAATGCAATCAAAGCGGAGGTAGCGCATCTGGTGCGTGGAAGAGCTGAGGAGCTGGTTATGGCATCCATGACGGAGAGATAGGTGCACTCTGAAAATTATTTTTCAAATTGACTACGATGGGGAAGATGAAATGGGAGAATAAATGATGAGAATCTAGCAATAAAATTACAGAAGATATGATCTAGGACCTTCGCTTCTGTGTTTCTACTTATTGAGGGCGGTTTTTTTTTTTTTTTTTTGATGAAATGTGAATCTTATTATTTAATATAACTATCTGTACACTAAAACAGCTAATAAGGTACTACAAAGCAAAGGAAACTGTCAAAAAGAATGA